GCTGTTACATAACTGAGTCAGGTGAATAGTTTGAGACACTCTGCTTGCGTCGCCGCTCTTTCATGTCGACTTGAGGTCGCTTAACATCCCCTGTATGTCGGGTGTTTGTGCCAGACGTGGCAACATTTTGACGTCAATCGACGTTTCACCCTCCGCTGATTGGTTACTGGTAGATAAGACCCAGGTGCACACATGCACTTCGTGCGGGGCCAACAACATCAGCGGCTGACTCTCGCTTGTACGCCGTTTGCGGCAGGAAAGATCGCCCAAAAAAACCTGTACCTGGTTAGCCTGTCGAAAGTTGTGTGGTCGACAAGATAAAGATTCCCAATCAAAAGTCAGGGAAGACAGTTTGAGTTGGACAAACTTTACTGCTTGGAAAGCGTGTACACAAAGGCTGTGTGGGCAGTCGCCGCAAGCGCGCTCCAAGCCAGCTGTTGTCTGCGTCCGCCCTCGAGGTGTTGTCAGCGCGTGTGTGCGCCCTTTGTTGTCTCCACGTCCGCCAGCCAATCAGAGTTGGGACAGCGTTGATTGGCTTTTGAGCACTCGCGCGTCCCAGGAGCGTATCGACACGGAGTGTGAGGCGGACAGGAGGGCAGCGTGACAAAGGCGGAGAGCGAGAGACGCGAACCGCCACAGTACCCCCCGGCTAGACCGAAGGTGGCGCGTAGCGGCGCCGAAGGAACTGTTGATGTCTAAAAAACATGAGTAACGAAACGGTCAGGAAAGTGAACATGGCGTCCACTACGGGTGATATATACAGGGGGCACAGGATTAGAGTGAGTATGGCTCGCGGTTACAGTGTTGTTTGTTGATGAAGGGGTAGTTGCAGTTGGGAGTTGTGGACATGAGGGCAGAGGAAGTATACGGGACGGTGGAATAGAGGGTCGGGGAGGCGGAGCAGGGGGTAGGGGACCACAGGGCTCATCCGGAGGAGTGTCCGGGACGGCAGCTTTGAGATGGTCCACGCTCACGACCTCCTCGCGAGTGCCGCGTTGGATGCGGAAGTTCTTCGTCCCACGAGAGATAACTCGGAAGGGGCCATCGTAGGGTGGTTCCAGGGGCCGGCGGACTCGATCACATCGGAGATAGTCGTGAGAGCATGTCGCCAAATCTTTCTCGAGGTAAGATTCGGAGACGGATGGCCTGGGCGGAACCGGAGAAAGTGTCCGCAGGAATTGCCGGAGGCGATGCAGGAGGTTGGTGGGATCCTCAACCGCACCTTGTGGGGTTGGCGAGATCATCTCACCGGGAAGTCGGACGGTGGCGCCGAACACCAGTTCAGCTGCGGAACAGTCAAGGTCCGACTTGAGGGAGGAGCGAATGCCCAAGAGGACTAGGGGGAGGTGGTCTGTCCAGTTCTCCGGATCGTCTGCGGCGCGTAGGGAGGCCTTCAGCTGACGGTGAAACCGCTCGACCATCCCGTTGGCTGCCGGATGATAGGCTGTAGTGCGGATGCGAGTACAGCCTAAAAAGGAGAGTAAAGACTGGAAGAGGTGAGATTCAAATTGGGCACCACGGTCAGTCGTGATAATGGAGGGAGCACCGAAAATGGCAACCCAACGACTGAGGAAAGCCTTGACGACCGTTGGAGCTGCGACATCAGGCAGTGGAATAGCTTCCGGCCACCGGGTGAACCGATCCACGCAGGTAAGGAGATAAGAGCAGCCATTGGACAGAGGCAGGGGGCCTACGATGTCCAGGTGGATATGACTGAACCGTGCGTCCGGAGTAGGGAAGGTGCCAATGGGAGTTTTGTTGTGTCGTCGGACCTTATTCCGTTGACAGCCGAGACACGCCCGTGTCCATGCCTTCAGGTCCTTGTGCATTCCAGGCCAGACGAAGCGGTCGGAAACCAGCTTGTCGGTTGCTCGACTCCCAGGGTGAGAGAGATTGTGCAGGGAGGAGAAAACTTTACGGCGGAGGGATGGTGGCACAAATGGACGATGGGAAGGGGTGGATACGTCGCATAAAATGGTGCCGTTGCCAGTCGTCAGTGGTAGTTCCTGAAGTTGGAGTCCGGAAACATCCTCATCACAGGGTGGACCGACACGGCGTTGTTCAGCGGCCATCTCAGCGAGGTCTATCCCGGGTGAAAGCTGAAGATGAGCAATAGAGGGCCTGGACAGAGCATCAGCCACCTCATTCCTTGACCCGTCAATATGGCGGATGTCTGAAGTGAACTGCGAAATGTAGTCCAGGTGACGGATCTCCCGGGGGCTTAGCTTGTCAGAGTGGGAATGTATTGCAAACGTGAGTGGCTTATGATCAGTGAAAATTGTGAACTCTCGACCTTCGAGTAAATGTCGGAAGTGCCTTACGGCAAGATAAGCGGCGAGAAGTTCACGTCCGAATGTGCTGTAGCGGGTTTCGGCTTTGGATAGTTTCTTGGAGAAGAAAGCCAAAGGCACGGTAGAATCCGGCAGACTTTGTTGAAGAACCGCGCCAACAGCAACATTGGAGGCATCGACCATCAAAGATATGGGTGCATCAGCGTGGAAGTGAGTCAGGAGGGTGGCGTCAGCCAGAAGAGCTTTTACCTGCTCAAATGAAGTGAGTGCGGCTGATGTAAGTTCAAAGGTGCGCTTAGAACCAGAGAGGAGACTGGTCAGAGGTAGGAGGGTATCGGCACAGTTCGGGAGAAACCGGCGATAAAAGTTCACCATACCAAGAAACCGTTGCAACTGACGCTTCGAGGTAGGGGGTGGAAAGTCCCGAATGGCGGCAACCTTTGAGGGAAGAGGCCGAATGCCGTGGGAGTCGACCAGATGACCGAGAAATTCTAGGGAGGGCACACCGAAGACGCACTTTGACGGGTTGAGAACAACGCCAAATTGTTGAAGGCGGTCAAACACCGTTGCCAGATGCTCCATTTGCTCTTCGGCGGTGGAGCTGGCTACCAGAAGGTCGTCGATATAGGCGTAGACAAACGGTAAGCCGCGAAGCACTCTGTCTACGAACCTTTGGAAGGTCTGGGAGGCGTTGCGAAGTCCAAACGGCATGCGCAGGAACTCAAAGAGGCCAAAGGGGGTGGTAACGGCCGTCTTCGAAACGTCCTCTGGGGCTATGGGAATTTGGTGGAAAGCACGGACCAGATCGATCTTCGAGAATACAGACTTGCCAAATAGGGCACCGGCAAAATCCTGAAGATGTGGGACAGGGTAGCGGTCCGGGACAGTAAGGTTGTTCAGGGCCCTGTAATCACCGCAGGGGCGCCAGTCACCAGTGGCGGCCTTTGGAACCATGTGGAGGGGTGAGGCCCATGGGCTTTCAGACTGACGGATGATGCCCATTTGAAGCATATGCTCGAATTCGGCCTTGGCG